CACACACACACACACACACACACACACACACGGGCTCTCTTCGGACCCATGACGAGCACAAGTTCTAAAGAAGAGGTGTAAATAATCTGCAGAACAACAATAAGGACAGCAACAGCAAAGACAAAAAAACAAACAAACAACAAACAGCAACAATATATATATAACGAAAACAGGAAATATAGCTGTAGTAGTTACAACAGCCAAATTAACACCAACCACAACAACAGCACCAATAACAATACACCAGCAGTAAAAGCAACAACTAAATATAACAACAACAACAGTAACAACAAGAGGGAAAAGGAGTAGAAACATCAATGAGAGCTCCACCATAATAATACAAACAACAAAAGAAACATACTACTTGTAATCATATGAACATCAATACTCAAATCGCAACATTGACCATGCACATATTTAGCTATAGTATGAGTTTCACTGTACTTTGCAACACAATTACACCAGGCAAATAACACACAGAAACAAACACACGGGTTCCTACATAACTGCCAGTCATTCTTAGTAACTCAATGTAGAGGTGGGCAAAATCCGGATAATCTAAGGATAACCGGATAATTCTCAATGAAACATTATCCGAATTCAGACTCGTAACTCTCTTTCCTGACCCGTTTGCTGAAGCGGGTGCACCCATTCGTTGAAGTGATGCTAACCCATTTGTCAAAGTGGTTTTAACCCATTTGCCGGATCGGTTCATAACATATTATTTACCAAAGAGGTGCATATTATTCGGATTTTTGCTAAAGCGACTCATTGCCCAGCCCTAACTCAATGTCCGCATAAAAGTAAACAAACTGAGAAAGCTGACAAGATTCTCAACAAAACAAACAACAAAAAAACCAAACACAAACCAAAACCAAAACCAGGCGGCACGTTGCAAAAACAAGTCAGCAATGACGAGCAACATACGATCTGTGACGTCATTCACGAATCCAACACGCAAGTAAATGCATCGTCATTCAAGCATGCACATTAGTGAGGGAATGAACAAGGGGGATTTTACACGCGATATGGTGTAGTGGTACAGAAAGATGCTCGGGTTATACTAATATGAAATATTGTTTACATATATATATTGTATGTATATATATATATTATACACATATAAATATAATATATACATGTGCGTATATCATTATATGCG